TTCAAACCATTCCATATCTACTTGTATCTTTCTTAATAAATTAATCTAACCTTGCTGGTTTTATCAGTTCATCAGCAATAAAAATACTACGTCTCAGTTCTAGGAAGGAACAAAGTGCAGCCTGTGCCTGCAGGAATTATTTCATCACCTATTGCTGTTATGGCTACATCTGCAGAACACCTGGAATTCTACAGAGCACCTTGACTCTCACCTGTCCTGGGGATACAGTTCCAACTTTCCATTGCCACATCTGTCACATGTAGGCCAGGAGAAAGCAGTGCTCTCATTAACTCCAACAACAGTACCTGCAGAAAATGGTATTTTTATTTACAAGATAAGAAATGTAAGCTAGCAAACACAGACACTACTGGCTTCACAGCAAGTTCGGCCATTTTCAAAAACAATGATGCAAGTTAAACTCCATTAATAATAGAGTTGTTCTTCATCTAGGCTGATTTAAGACAGATCAGATCTGACCCAGAGATTGAAGTGTGTGCTTAAGAAGAGAATGCCAAAGATACTTTGGACTAATACAAAGGGCCTAGCGAGTTTTGGCAAGAAAAACATTCTGAGTTTTATGAGAAGCAGTAAAGAGTTTATTATGCTTTATGGTAATGATATGCTGAAATAATTAGCACTGTTTATGGAGAAAATTCTTACAAGCATTTCGAACTAAACATGGTGGAACAGCGGAAAGACCAAAACTACAGTAAAATAAGCCCTCAGTCTAGTACAAAAGGTGCACAGACTAAAAATTCCAGCTCTTTTTGAAACAGAATCTCACAGTTGTATAATAGATTCAATGAAATAAGCCCCTGGAGACCAGGGAGCATTTGCACAGTCTGTAAAACAGGTTGTTAATCTCCTGTGTTGCAGACTCTCCTGAGACAAGGGCCGTCAGAAGGGACGAAATGATACATAAACAGCAAACCCGCGTTTCCTTTGGGAATTCAAAGGACAGCAAGCCTGAAGATCAGGAAAGCAACTTCTCAAATGTAACATTTATGACCCGATTTCTGTATATATAACAAAATAACATGGATTACACTTTTTTTTTTTTTCTTATATTTAACTTCTTGGAGGGTAGCAGGAAAAAAATTGTGATGCACTGTGGGTTTCTATCAGCATTTGCAAGATAGACAATTCCTGCCCCAGCACGGGCTTGCTCCCTTGCTAATGGAAAAGAAAAAACTGATTATTTTGCTGAATTTTTTTCCTTTTTTGTAACAACCTTTTTTTTTTTTTTTTTTAAATCCCCTTTTATGACAGATCTGTTTCTCTCTACACATTTCAACTTGGGAGATTGGCTTTTTACATGGCAGAGAGTAACATGACAAGGCAGAACAGTTTCAAGCTAAAAGAGGGGAGATTCAAATTTGATGTCAGGAGCAAATTTTTCACTGAGAGGGCAGTGAGGCACTAGCACAGCTGCCCAGAGAAGCTGCGGTGTCCCATCCCTGGAGGCACTCAAGGCCAGGTTGGATGGGGCCCTGGGCAGCTGAGGTGGTGGGGGGCAGCTCTGCCCATGGCAGGGGGAGGCTTTAGGGTCTTTTTCAACCCAAGCCACTGTATGAATTTTTCTGCCAGTTGTGTGCCATACTGCAACTACAGGATGCCAGTGCACAAGCAACACAAATCCATTTGAGGAAGATGTATCAGGATCATTCTGACATTATGCCTACTGGAGAAGTTTATTTTGATGAAAACATGGAGTTCCCTCATGAGATCACCAGAGATCACTGAAGTCAGAAGAAATACAACTCTAAACAGCAGCATATCTAAGAATCCTGCAACAGTCTTTTGCATCCTGCATGCAAAGTGATTTTTAAGCTGCTGATCATCTGTACATTTTTGTAAGTCTTTTAGATTTTGCTTGTTTTTTTCAAACCTTTTAGACATTCTCCTAAGATCCTTCTTTTAAATGGAAACATACACAGCCAAAATTAGCTTTTCACTTCCACACTACTCTTCTGGATTGTACCTGACAACACCGAGAAGAAACTGACAATAGCTCAATTAGGACAACACCTGGAAAAACAGATCTTGAGTGAGGGATGCAAGGAAGGGCTAAGGACTCAAAGTAACACTCTGGTTAAAGTGCTCCAAAAAAGGAAAAAAAAAAAAAAAAAAAAGGTGTTTACACAAGCAGTTGTCTGTTAGTTGGTTACCCTGATTAATAGATAGGAAAGAAAAAAGATGCAGTCCAAAAGCCCTAAGTAAGACAACTGACTCCATTTTGTTCAGACTGCAAATAGGGAAACTGAAAAAAAGAAACCTGAGTAAGGGCTTAAAGACAAAAATACCCAGTGTAAAAATTCAATCACTGGATGTGAATCATACACTAGGCAAACATCATTAATCACGTAATAGTCCCACGCAGCATACGTGGTATGAACTAACTAGAATTTGCTCGTAAGCATGGTTAAGATTAAGAGCAGTTCTCTACAGTGTGGACTGCCAACATTTAAGTCACACTGACTGCTAATATATGGCAAAAAGACGTTACAAATCACTTTGGCATGAATAGTGAAAACAAATGTATTAACCCTCAGCTCACAGGTGAGAACCACAGACTGATCCTGGAAAGAAGAATAAACTGCCTTGTGGAAAGCAATCACAGGTTCTTACCAGGTACCTGAGTGGGTGTGATCGGGCCTCCATGAAATTTGTGAGAAACTCAGTGGCTATGCTTGTCACCCATTTTTCTGATGGGGGAGAAAGGATTTGACCAAGTATAACTGGAAGACTTCATTTAGCAGAACACTATTACAAACACATGAAGACAATCTGCTCCAAGGGCTGTTCCACTGATTAAAAGGAAGCTTTTCTAGTGAAGGTTGAGATACTCTGCCAGCTCCCTGAAAGGCAGAGGTGCAGCAAGTAGGGCAAAAGAGCATGAAGGAGCAACACTTCAAGTAGGGGTAAAGAAAGCCTTTGCAGCTCCTTTCAACATTTGATGAGAGGACGCCTGCACACAGCACACGAAGGTGACCAACAGTAAGGGAAGTAAAAGGAGGACACAGAGAAAAACAGTGAACACAGCAATCCTGCTGCTCACTGAAAGTCAGATTAACCATTTGGTGAGCTTTTTATAGATGAGACAGAGGTGGTGAGTGACCAAGACAATTTTTCTCCATCAAATTCACGTTCCCACCAATAAAATAGTGCTAATATTATTATTTTCACTTCTTTTCATTAGAAAGCTGTAAGCTTTAAGCATTAGCTACCAAATCCCAAAGCAGTGGATATGTTTTAAATGCAATTAAATAATTTTAGTTAGTTACACAAAAAAGTGAAGGTTGCAATCTATATATAGCAGTAGCATAGGGTTAAGGATGATGCTTCATATTCTACATTGGTTCAAAGGTGTGGAAACATGCTGATAGTAGCCACCCCAGGCAAATTTCATATCAAGCAAGATGAGATTGTAGGATTAATTTATCCTGATGTCATTCTACCATCTTTAATAAAGAACAAGGAAAGTGTTACACCTCTAACATACGTAAAGTAAGCGTTTGTTTACACATGGATTACAAAGATGTCTTTGCCTTGCTTTACTGAAAAAAGAAAGGACAGGCACTTTTGCTTTATATACACTGTGAATGGGATGAAAGAAGACAGGTGCTTTGGGTAACCTAGTTATTAGTGTAACCTAGTTGCGGTGAGTAAGGGCAGAGGAGTAGTAACTCTTAGCATAACTACTGCAGAAGTGAAAATAAAAAGCATTTCCTACCCAGTGACAGAAATATCTTTCAAGTACCTCATGGTATCAGTGGAAGATGTACATAATGACCAAAGCTTAGAGAGCCTGTAGTTGTGCGTGTTTTTCATTATATAGAGTTCAATGTTTGCCACTTCAAGATGGCTTATATATCAATCACGGAGGCATTGCTAACTTGCGGCTCTACCCTAGAGAAGGTAAGTTTAGTGGTTTAGCTTTGAGTGGTTTAAAACGGACTTTCCTCTGTATTGCTGTATAGCTGAGAGGATTAATTTGTAATTACTATTTGCTCTTATTTCAAACATCATTTCAAACATTCAAGTGAATACTTGGAAGTGTAAATGTAAAACGGTGTCAAGAATTTTGTACAAGGGCTGCTGGAATTGTAAGAGTTGGATTAAAAAGGGAAAATGTCTTTAAAAGCCAAAAGTTACTTGGCTTTTAAGGACTTTTCCCTACAGGCACTCTGCAAATTGGGTGCTTAAGAAGTCTGAGTAAACGGTGTTAGAAGATACTGTGTATGAAATGTTTCTACACAATTCAGAAATATTAGAAAACACACTGCAATAAATGTTTCTGCACGGTTAGCAGTAGGACTACACTATCAGACAAGGCAATGATCCAAAGTGGCTGGTGAGCGAATCTCAGCTAAGTTAAGCTTGGTGACTGTGGTGAAATATTAAATTGCCCCACTGCAGCAAAGCTCCAGGAAAATTAGACAGTAACCCCTATCATTCAGAGTCTGGCTGACATATCTTCTCCATCTGCCTGAAAAATATTGTTATCCCTTACTGTTGCCAGTATCAACATGGTGATGTGAACAGAAGGCTTCTGAAAGAAGATGGTGATGGAAGGAATATGACCAAACAGACTGCACATCAAACATTTATTCTGGGGCATCAGTGAGTGGGAGCAGCAGGCAGGCAGAATTTGGCCAGCAAAAGACAAACAAAGCCCACAAAGAAGCACAAAAACTTAAATATCCTAATGATCTACAGCAGTACGGTGCTTTTTCATCCTTGCACCCTGTTTGTGCAAGAAATCAATACGAGAACCTGAAAGATTAAAGTGAACACAAATAATTAACCACATTCATTTCAGAAAAGGCCAATACGAACCTCTCACAGCACAAATGGAATTGGCCTGTGTGGTAGAATCCAGCTCATCGAGTTTGACAGGGCCAGGCAGCTCACTGAGGTCAGCATCAGCAGCCGAGCACAAAAGAGGCTTTTGTAATAAGAGAACAGTACGTTCAACACAAATAATCCTACCTGCCAACAAAGACATTTCAACTCAGTACAGTAACAAGGAAAAAGGTGACCATGATAACTGTCATGGCCAATAAAGACATTTGTCACTGCCAGCTACTAAACAGATGGATAGACTCTACCAGGTTTTCTCAATGACAAAATATTTTGCTTTCAGTGATACACGCAGCATGCTCTTGTCACATTTTGTGACTCTCGGGGAAAACAATTCTCTAAAATTCTAACATGCTACAAAAGCAAAGCAGATTCCATCCAGACTGCACTGTACCACGCTGGAAACAGAAAGTTCTTGTCTCTTCCCTAGTAAAAAGCTTGGTCGCCCTCAAGGTTGTTCTATTTTTATTTGTTTGTTTAAGATTACAAAGCGTAGGTGCATGCAATACTTTATTCTCCAAATAAATGAAACCAATGCAACCTCAGTTAGCAAGGGAAAACAGACTGATTAGAGGATGTGGTGACAGGACTCACAGCCACTTACATAGTTGCATTTTGGAAATGAGCAAAGGCATGAGAGGTGAATTACACAGGCGTACATCACACAGAAGGATGGGTGAGCCTCATTCATACAAATGACTAAAAAAGAATGCAGACTGAACCACCATCTCACAGGACCTGCATGGCACCCGAGGGCTCACAGCTGAAATGGTAAAGGAAAGCTTGTAATGGCTTTTTATCTAGGGACATGCAAGTCTTTAGGTTCATTGCCTTTCTCCTTTTGCAGGTTGTAAGTTCAATAAAACAAGATTCTGCAATCAAATATCAATACAAATGAATATTAAAACAAACGAAAGCAAGTTTCTTACTATTTCTGAATCTTCTGTCAGCTAACAAATTTGTTTGAGGTTGGTCTTTAGATTCAACAGTCATCAAGGAAGACTGATAGAAATATTGGTGAACAAATGGTAAGATCACTTAATTTCTTATTTTCTTGGAAGATAAAGAAAAAAAAACCCCAAACTAACAACAACAGAAGAGAAACCTTACAGAAATCCTCCAATTACAACCCCTTTCAGGTTTCTCATCCCAAACTTGCAATGTTTCATCTTCATCTCAGAGTGGAAGTCTATACAGGTTATGTATTACAGTGTTAGTAACGCGGGTGTTAATCTGTTTGATTCCAGTTGCTTCAAAACCACACGTAAAGCTTACCATTTCCCCACAGGGCATCCTTGAAGAAGATGAATCGTGAGGCAACATTGAGGGCTTCTATGATTTCCGTACTGAGAACACATGATGCAGTGACTGACACAGCAACAACTTTTGGAATTCCACGAACTACACTTTGCAAAGTGAAGTCAGTCACAAACAACAACATCTCTCTTTGATTTACAGGAACACTGTGTTTTGTCTATGATTTAAAAAAATAAAAAAATTCAAAATTAGAATGCAGTCATTAATTTTTGGAAGAAGAAAAGACAAGTAACACACTCATCTGTAAGCAACTAATAAAACTGACAAATTACTACACTTATGGCCAGTAAAGAAGAATGAATCAGGTTTTTCATTGTTCCTTAATGCAGTTACAGATTATCCTCTCTACCTTCAGTTAACTTTCCAAAGCTGACCCACTGAGATCTTGGTGCCCTCTCTATCAACTGTCATGTTTTATCGTGACTCATTTGCACATGAAAATAAGTGTCATGAAAAGTTAATTGGATGTTTCTATGAACAAAGACTAAAGTAATTTTTCCCTTAAAAAAGAAAGGCTAACATCACTTCTATTATTAAGAAAATGTTCTATGCACTGTTGTGTGATTCTGAAGAGTACCTCACCCTGTCTAATAGCTCCTGCAAATACAAAGCTGCCGGGTTTTCTTTCTGCACATCCGCAGGTATTTGAATGATACATAGAAGTGTGAAAGGAGATAACTCATAAGAAAGAAACACAGGAAATCACAATGACAATGCAAGTTTTCTGCCTAAGACAGGTACAAAAATTAAGGTATATCAAAACTAATGACGTCACAACCAAAATAACTACATTTCACATTGTATTTCTTCGTATCTGAAAACAGTTACTGCTAAGTCAGTAGCGTTTTAAAACACTGACACTGTGATGATGAACAGGACAGCTTAGATAGACATGAATTTACACATCAGGGATTAGTCCAAAGGCTCTAACAAAATTAGATAGGTTGATAATGAGAGGTTTCTTTCTTCTTTTTTTTTGTTTTCAACACAACTGTTATAATATGTACACGTGTCTGTGATTTTTCCCACAGTTCAGAAAAAAATGAGCTTAGTAAGATTATATTTCATATTTACCAGTCCAAGCAACTTGTAATTTTAAAGATTCTAGTATTTTACAATATTTAAGTGAAATTATTTCAGTTTTGCCTTAAAAGGGCTTTGTTACTATTTTTAATTAGTCTACTGATTAAAAATCATAGGACATTTTAATACTACAATGATTGGAGAGACACATATCCCACAAGTATTTTATCCTTAAAGTTACATTTCTGTGGCACAAGGCAACGCATTGAGAACTCCAACTTTTTATCTTCAGTTAAATTCACACCTCGAAAAAGTTAACCAGACTAAAAATAACTTCTGCTCGTAATGGCAGCTCTTAGGGCAAATACAGTAATCAGGAGTAATGACAGATATAATTCATAACTCAGATATTATGGTTATGCCTTAACGTAAGTTGCCTAATGCATTTACATTATTTCTTTCCCTCATAACTACGTGCATTTGAGTACCTCCTCTGTGCAGATACCATTAAAGCAGCTTCAAAAGGAAGATGCTTTACAGCTGTCCCATGAGAATTACTAGCACATTAAAAGCTGTCTTTCAGAAGAATCAGACAAAAAAAGCAAATAAACATAACAGCAAAAATTTCAACTTATATAAAATCATCATCTTGCTATGTGTGACAATTTGTTCTGAACACAGAGGACACAACAGACAAATAGCAGCAGGACTGAGTTACAAGGAAGGACAGCTCCTTAACCACAGATGGAATATATTTCCCCATATTCCTTCTGTACCACAGTACAGATTCTGAGCAATAATAGAAGCATATTCCCATTCCTCCTTCACACAAACGAAGCATCTCAGAACACTGTTGTTTCAGTGTTTTATTAACACCACTTTTAAAGTATATTTGAATTAACTCATGTTGCAGATTATCTTTGCTAAATGAACTAAACCATAGTCCCTACCTCAGATATCATCACCGAATGATTTTGCACGTGAAGAATAAATCCTCTTGGGAAAGGTAACTGCAATTAACAAGCTCATAACTTTCTGGAAGGATTAGGCAAGCAATACACTAACAGCAGGTAAATACCATGAGCTTTCTAGAGCAGCAATGCAGAGTGTTACCGAGCGCTTACAAAGACGAGGAACTCCCATTGCTTTTCCAATACAGCTTTCAAAAAATTTATAAAAAATCATGCTGTTCACTCACGGAAATCTACTGCTAATAGTTCACCAAGCAAATTCAGGAAACAGCTAGTAAAACTTCAAGAAAGAAGGAATCACAGACTTCTTTCTTCTTGTTAGATGAATTTCTACTCTTCAAAGTCACATCTGTTCCTGCATTCTTCATCTTTTCTCTAATTTAGTGATGAAGTGATTCTACACAAGAATGTTGATGACCTCCAGTGTCTCAGATGTAGATGTTCCCTTATACAAATATGCTTGGCTAGGATATCACTAGTCTGTAATTGATTTATTTCTGTTAATTGAATAGACGCCACAGAATTCCACATATGTACATGTCCTGCTAGCATGTACATTTCTGCTAGCAGCCTGAAGATCTCCCATTAAGCTACCCTAATTTTGCGTATTTAAAAATACTCTGCTGTCACTTAGTATGAAGAAAGCACTGCTGAGTAGTAAGAGCTGCCCCTCTCACAAGCTAAAGCTACTCCCTGCCTAATAATCAAATCACAACTCATAGGCTGCTGAAGCAAGAGGAAGAGACCTACACCACATTTATGTCCCATACTGCTGGGAAGCATTCTCAACTATTTTGCTGTCTGTTCTGGAGTTTCTTTGTCTTTGGTTCATATGCTTTGATTCACGCTTTATTTTCTGTGGTGCTGATGGACAACTGCAAATTGTTTTCCCCAGAGCTAGCTGTACTGAGGGTCCAGTTGCCAGGAAAAAGTAAATAAATCAGCAGCCAAAAAAATCCTTCAACTACTGAGGGAGTTAGCAACATTTCAAAAGGAAGTTGTAGCATAATTCAGAAAAAAATCAGAAACAAATAAAATGTAATTACAAGCTTCCCAGCACAGCGTGGATGGCAGATGTATTTACCTAAAGTTCCTCCTTTCTACTTGTGGGACCCTGAAAGCCAAGTTTGCCAGAGGGGCTTCTGCTGAACAACAACAGTCCACCCACTTGTCTGCAAAGAGCAAAACTGTATCTTTATAAGACCATCACCAGTTACATTCTATACCAACTCAACTGACCGATAACTTTTCGCTGTGTACATCTAAGGACAGCACTTACCTACAAACTGATTTTAATTGCAAGACTAAATTAACTGTCTGTGAGCTCCTTTATTAGGGTGAAATATTACTTTGGGCTAGATGGCAATTTATTCAAATATAATTCACCTTCTAGAGTAAATGGTACTGAAACTGCAGTTCATTTTACCCACTCACAAGCGTTTCGGACCTGGTGATCATTCTTCTCGCACAGCTCTTGAAGGTAATCTGGAAGGTTTTTTTACTCTCCCCTAAACAAGATAAACGCTGGCCTCTTCACATAAACGTTATGTTAATTTTATGTCAATTTCATTGCTAAATGAACAGATTACCTGTGGCCTTAGATACAGTACTCGTGCCCAAAAGCTACAACGTTCATGACAACCACCCATCTGAAAAAAACAGTACAAAAACAGGGAATGAGTCAAATATGGTAAGTGAAATTTAGGGGTACAAAACATCGGTTACCAGCCTTTGAAAGCAACTTACCTGAAGAATTTCCTTTAGATTATGCACAGTTGGTGGCTGGTACAATTTAGAAATCGTCTCTTCCTCATCCACTTCCATGTGTATTTCACCAGACTGAACAGTCAGAACATAACAGAAGCTGGGAGGAGGCAGATTAGTTGTCATCTATTAAAAAGGAAAGAAAAGAAATGTGACCTTAAAAAAGGCATTTCAATTTGGCCAGTTAGTATTATTTTATAATAATGTCCTAAATGAACCACACAATTTTCTTATTAAGAGCAATGGGAAAACAAAATAATGACTGTCTGAAGTAGAAGCTGAGATAACAAAACAATATGCACAAATTCTAAGTGAAATCAGCCTGTGTATCATTCTTTCCCTAATCTGACATCGATCCTCATCACAAAAACATCTTGTGATTTGGCATGCTTGGCAAACACTGCAACTTTTTCAAGGTGACAGTGCTTGTTTTGCACTTTTTTAGTATGTGGTAGGGGTGCCCTGATTATTTATTTCTCATCATCCATAACTTGTCTGAGATTTGGGGACTTCTGCATGTGGGTGGGTTTTTGTGATAGTAAACAGCTGAAGAACTTTAAAAGCTGCTAAATTAAATCCAGGACAGCACAAGGAGATAATGAAGAACAGGAACTCAGCAACTACAAGAACTGCTTTTTTTGTGTTATGCCGAATTTTCTCTCCCCTTAAAAAGTATTGTGACATAACAACCCTATCTCCATTTAAAGAATGAGAAAGGCTTCTGAGAAATAAAAGATGCTACACTACAGTAATTTTTATTTTGGACTCGGTAAATATTCGTATAACATTGTTAGTTGCTAATAAAGCATTTCATTTAATACAATAAATACAAATCTGCTAAAGACAGCTGTATATCCATATCCAAACAATCTGTCTATAGCAAAAAAAAAAAAAAAAAAAAAAAACACGAACCGCACGAGCTCATTATTTGCCTCTGACAGCACTAAAAAAGATATGCAAGTCCGTGCCACAGATCTCTGCAGAAACTTCATCAAATAATTGGCAGTATGATTTAGGCGTTGTTGCTTAAATCACAGAATCACAGAATGGCCTGGGTTGGAAGGGAACTTGAGGATCATGAATCTCCAACCCCCCACCACATGCAGGGATACCAACTCCCATGTAATACCAGACCAGGCTGCCCAGGGCCCCATCCAATCTGGCCTTGAACACCTGCAGGAACAGGGCATCCACAGCCTCTCTGGGCAGCCTGTTCCAGCACCTCACCACTCTCTCTGTAAAGAACTTCCCCCTGACATCCAACCTAAATCTCCCTTCCCTTAACTTAAAACCATTTCCCCTTGTCCTGCAGTTATCAACCCTTTCAAAGAGTTGATTCCCCTCCTGTTTGTAGGCTCCCATTAGATATTGAAATGCTGCAATGAGGTCACCCTGCAGCCTTCTTTTCTCCAGGCTGAACAAGCCCAGCTCCCTCAGCCTGTCTTTGTAGGGGACGTGCTCCAGCCCCCTGATCATCTTTGTGGCCCTCCTCTGGACCCTCTCCAACAGCTCCCTGTCTCTTTTGTACTGTGGGCTCTACACCTGGACACAGTATTCCAGGTGGGGCCTCACAAGAGCAGAGTAGAGGGGGACAATCACCTCCCTGTTCCTGCTGGTCACCTCTCTTTTGATGGAGCCCAGGATACCATTTGCTTTTCGAGCTGCAAGGGCACGCTGCTGGCTCATGTTAAGTTTCTCATCTCTCAAGACCCCCAGGTCCTTCTCCACAGGGCTGCTTTCACGGACTGCTCCTTCCAGTCTGTATGGATGCCTGGGATTCCTCCAGCCCAAATGCAAAACTCTGCACTTTGCCGTGTTGAACCTCACCAGGTTCACCTGGGCCCACCTCTCTAGCCTCTCGAGGTCCCTCTGAATGGCATCCCTTCCTTCCACCGTGTCGACCGCACCACTCAGCCTGGTGTCGGATGTGCTTTCAAAAACTATGTAAAACTATACTTCTTGTACAAGGTAAAATGTATCTCAGCTAAAAAACCTGCACTTTACCAAAAATTTGCAGAAGTAGAATACATCTTGATACCCTGTAGAATGGATTGGTATTTAAACCTGTGGCAGAAGTGTAAACTGCATGATTATGGAAAGTTTTCATCATTTCTAGGTTGTCAATAAAATAGAGAAAAAGAAGAACAAATGAAAATAACAATGCTGAAGAATATTTAAAAGTTTTGCTCCGTCTGTGTAAATTTTCATTGTTGTCCACAGTATTTTAACATACAAAACAATCCTCTCCTCTGAGACTTCTAAAATGTGTGGATGAAAGGGAGAATCAAAGCAAGAATGGTAGTTTCATTCATTTCCAGTCTTGGTTTTATAACCAAGTTCTGAACTTCTTATTATTCAAAATAAATCCCTGTACAATCCCAATAACTCTGTAGATTGCAGCAAGAAGAATCTCAGAGTTCAGAAATGTCTAGGAATAACTAGGAATATCCTCTTGCGAAGTCCTCTGTTTTTAAAATTTATTTCCAGATTTTTCTTCCTAGACTCTAAAATAAATTTTTAATACCAGAAACTTCCTCCCCTAAGAACAGCTGTAGAGGAACAGCTATAAGACAGCACAAGCACTTGGTTACCAAGATTCTCAAATGAGCTTTTCATTTCAGATGCCACTTGATTTGACAGAACTCCTTTTCAAATACAAAAGCTGATTAAATGAAAATTAAAGATGCAGTTTTGGATTGGAAAATGTATAATAATATACTCAAAATCTATTTTAATACTTCATGTTGGGAATTTTCACCATTTCCCAAAATCACAGAAACTTTTATTACTTTTAGTAGGCAATTTTCGTTCTTATATTTTGACTGCCTTCACAACAGGATGGACAACTGTCAGCCAGAATCATCCTAACTGAAAATAGACTCAATTCCATCAGTTGGTCTGTCCTCATGGGGACTAATCTTCAGAAGAGTGTTTTTAAATATAAGGCTGAAAAGTTCTTCAAAAGAATGTATCATTTATGCATGTAGATTTATCAAATAGCGTGGAGCCAGCTGGTATCTTTTCCTCCTGTGAGCAGAGGAAATGAATAATTTGGCTGGATACTCTATCATTTTAGTTCTAGATGGTTAATAAAAGTTTGATTGCATCAGATTGGAAAGAAGCTGCTGATCCAGAGTCTCAGGTTGGCCTAGGATAGATGGTGGAACCAACAAAACAAATATCATTAGATAAAGAGAGAATCTGATTCCCCAGATACGTTACACTACTAAGAAAAACAGTAATTATAGTGAAAAAGTACATTTCCATAATAACAAGACTTACCATTTCAGAGTCTTGACTTTGTCCAGGAACTTTTACAGGCACTACTGGAGGCCACAAACTGTCTATCAGACTGAAAAGTCCTAACGCCCTTCAAAAAGACCAATAAAATTAGCTTTAGAGTGGTTTCCACTGTTAGATGCTGTACTATAAAGATTCATTAAGAAATACAATTTAAACCATTGCATGATTATGAAAACAATTTTAAATCATATTTGTTTTCTACAAGCTGGTTTTGATTTGGTCTAATTAAATCTCCATCATTTCTGCTGCATGGTGGAGAGGGAGGGAAGGGACGCATCGCAGACAGTGACTAGCAAGTCATATTTAATTCTTTCCCATGAACAGCCTGTGACATGGTAAAATCCAGGGCAAGTGGGGTATGTGCTAGTTTGGGAAGGACACAGACACCAGTACAACTTTGAAAAAATAGCTTTTAACTATTTAGACGGCAGCTTGAACAAAATGTTTTGCTTCTAACATCTTCATTTCTTGCTTTTCTCTAACACTGATTGCCACTGCTGTTAGGAAAGTTAGCAGTGAGATAGGAGTAGAAAGACAGGCAAGATTTTGTTATCTGAAGTGTACCCATGCCTTAGAGTACAAATGTGCAAAGAACCATCCCCTTCCTATGCAGCTGCTCATTTGGTTATGATTCTTTTCTTTTGCAAGTTTTCCACCTTCAGTTTAGAAACAAACAAAATGAACAGCCCTGCATACTAAGATTAACTGCTGCAAACCCTTCAGCTTTCGCACGCAAAGCTGCGATGTGCAGCAGTTCGGTGGCTGGCTTGTTGGTTGATGTGTCATCCATGCAGTAAAAGCAGGAACATCCAAGGGAGAGGCCAAGAAAATAGCTGAGGGAGGGGAAAAAGCTACAGATAACCAACTTGAAGAGGCGTGCATTTTTGAGTTTAAGCTCTCTGTTATCTTGTCCTAGCTCTCTGTGCATGTTCTGTGTGGTTAAAGCACAGAGATCTGGATTTTAACCCCACAGTGCCTCTGAGAACTGTCAATTTGTTCCTCCAATTATGAAAGCCACCACTTCCAAAACAATTCTAAAATGAAGTACAAAACTTGCTGAAGGTAATCTTAGGTTCTAACCAAAAGTGCTTTGAAGAAAAAAAGGCAGGCCCTTGTTCTTGACTGAAGCACACTGCAGTATGCTGCTTCTTTTCAAGGAGTAACAGATCTTTAAAGTTCTGCTTTTAATCACTTCTGCTTGAGCTTACCTAATTTCATATTTCCCTCACCCTTCTTTTCAGCCTTAAAATGCTTGTGTTTTGGGTATCTAATGTCAGTCAGCTTCTTCCCATATTTTTTCATAAAGCAGCAGGTATCACATATGAGAATGCTAACAGTGATGCCTATGGACCAATACTATATGAATTTAAATCTCTGGGAGTGACTGAATCTCAAGGGATAATGCTTTCATTTTAAGATTTGGGTAACCAAATGACAGGTTAAAAAGATGCTGCTGCTGTCTGTAGTTGTGTTCCCCACAGTGATTCAGAGACCAGGAACAGAAATACGCCACCCTTCTACAAAAGCGAGAGAAGAAAAAGGAAGAGAGAAGAAAAGAATTTGCTGACTTATATGGCATCATCATTCCTGTAAAAGGAAAAGGCTGAGTACAGAGCCTGAGGTTTTTGTTTTGCATTTTGTTTTTAGCAGAATATTACAACATACAAAGCAACTCTTCTTAGGTATTAATCAGACTTTAAAGCAAAAATGACCACATCTCAATTTCTTGACAAGGTGACATTTTCAGTCTTCTACCATACAGAAAAGATCCTTCTCTGTATTTGCAGGAGGGCCAGTGCCCAGTGGAGCAAACTGCCCTTGTTAAGTGGGACACAAGGAAGGAGAACTACTGAAGCAGAGAGCTTCTGTGTGACAAAGGAAGCTAAACAAGTGATGTTACTCACTTGACACTGAGTATATGGGCAGGATATGTATAATAGCATGCTGCAAATTTTGTGTTTGTTTGTATATGTGCATTCAGAAATCATGTATTTATCATCTTGGAGCCCAGATATAATCACATCTCTGCACAGACCTTACATTGATCTACCAGTGAAAATCTGTGTTTTTAAGTTTGCACAAGCAATACGGAGCTATCTCCCAGTCTTTAGTTCTCCTCTAGCTTGCAACTCAATGTCAGAACATCTATGACAGTATTGTGTCCTTTTGGAGGAGTTCATAAACTGCTTGAGCTAGAAGTACTTAATTATTACTGAATTACAGTATTTGTTTACAAACAGGGGGAGGAGCAGCACTGTGCAGCGAGTGTCTCCTAAACATCTTGGACTCATCCTTCTCTTTGACTCCAGTCAGGCAAACCACAAGTACATTTGCCACCCAAAGGATGTGCAAGTTCCAAGACACATCATGCAGGGATGAGGGGATTCTCCTCTGTAGAAAGGGGAGTTCTGCCCTTGAGCTGTCCCTGATGGGCCCAGGAATGTATCAGTCAGAGTCCCTGGTGAGGGGCTCCCCTTAACTTCACCCACTCCCATGCCCCCAAGAAAATTAACTCTCTCTTTACACTTATGGACTTTGACTTGCAGAAGGATGAATGGGGGGGGGGGGGGGGGGGGGGGGGGGGAGGCAACCACAGTGGAGAAACGGCAAGACATTGTGTCCTCCTCTGCAGAAAATCATTATCCTTGTGGAAATAATAAAATTCATTCTCTTTATTGGGCATGCAACACTCAAATCCCACTTCAATCTGACTTGAACAATGGGTTATTTTATCCAATAAATGTATCCTTCTTCAGATGTAGAATCGGGACAAGAGATGAACAGCTGGCTCTGTGCTACAGTGAGGAAACTTGGTTAGCCCTGATGTGCACAAAGAACCTTTCTCATTACAGAAGGCAAAATAAAAACCTAATGATTTAGATCCACGAGAGTAATCACTAGTCACTATTTCAAAAAATATATGTAAAATTTTTATGACAACAGTATAGACTTCTAAAAAAAAATGAAGAATAAGAAGTGAAAAGAAACAAGCACACGATTAGAAGAATTTTTAACCATTAAAATACTAAAATATTTTAATTATTAACATTTGTATTACTGAGATGACAAGGACTTTATTGTAATATTCTATAATCTTCCTTCAAAAAAAACCAAGGAAACAGGAAACAGACAGAAGTTACCTCAGATTCTAAATAACGGATTAAATCTTCTAATAGCATGTCAAACTGCAATTGTCTGTTTGATAAAAATCTTTTTGACCCATACAAAATATGTATCCGTCCTGTACTTATCATTGACATAGCAAGATCACAAGTAATCCAACAGAGTTTTAAAATATTGACTTTTGTAGAGGTGTGGACCTTGGACAGACAGGTCCTCCACGTACAGGTACACTTCCCTCCTGTAAATTAACACCTTTAAGGTTTGCTAAAACACAATGATACTGTTATATATAACGTGTGTGTATACACACAGACGTGAGCATGTACATATGACATAGGCTGTTGGCAAAATAATTATTTTTAGTATTCTAGATTATTTTTATTATTCAATATGCTTAAAATACATCCTCTTAGATTTTGCTTGCTAAAATGTCTTTTCTGTGTATCAATAAGTGCAAACTGCGTGTTATGTACCCAGACAGCAATCAGAACATTTTAAAGATTGCCCATGACTGAGAAAATGCAAAATATGCTTGCAGCACGTGCAGGAATTAATCCTGACCTATTAGCAAATCATCCTGTCTGATAGTTGCACTACTTGCTGGAGAGTGACTGATACTAACAAAATAGCATTTACATTTCCATCCAATAATTCTTGTCATACATGATGACTGTGCTGCCCAGTACACAATAAGTTGCTTTCTTTTGCTCACCTAACTATCTTCTTTAATTTCACAGCTCAGTAGATAACAGAAGTTACCTTCTACTAGCCTTCCTAGCTTGTTCTGCCCTTCACTGTGAAGTCAAATGGCATACATTCATATGTGCACACAAACACATATGTTTGCCCTATGATTTTTGATAAAAAAAAAAACATACAAATTAAAGAGAAAAGTCCTTGTAGTTCTATTTAGAAACCTGGTAAATTACAAATCTGTATCTACAGTCTCGTTACATCCCTGATCCTGTGGACATTTCATGCTATAAGTTATACTGAAAAAGTCGAACAACTTAAAACTTGGGATTTTCAGAGCAGCGTTTCACTGGTTTTCTGTTTCTTAAGTTATAGTAAGCAGTTACAGTGTCAAACAATACTCTCATCTGAACTGGGCAGATTTTGTTTGTTTCTCTCACAAGCATGAAGTTTCATCTACAGTTCTGGTCCAGAAGCGGTGCGTGTGATGTGCCTGACTCAATTTTTAAACAGTACAGATACACAGCTATGATTTTTGAGCACAAAGCAGCTTATAGTTTGGTGGATTTTTCCATTTTAATAACAACCCCGCAGAATACATCAGAAACACCAAAGACGATCTAGGAAGAAAACAATGCCTCTAACTAGGAAAGAAGAAAGACTAAATAGAGGAGAGGAAGAAGATAGGATTCTCCACCAATATCTTCCACAGCTTTGACATAGCACTTCTCTGTTTCCTGCTCTGTTTCTCTTCCAATTTTAAATCTGAATGCAAACAGTTTTCTTTCAGCATTATTACTGTTGCAGACTCAATGTTAAGAACTCACAAATAAAAATAAAGCAACTTCTAGCCCTCTGTGAAACTTTACTCAACATTGGAAAGAAATTCACTAGAAATCGCATAGGATGCATGACCCTGAACTACCAAGAGACAAGCAATCCAATCATAATGGTGATGCTGCAAGCTACCTTTCCATCTAATTTACATACTAAGATCTGACAGTACACAACCTGTGCAACATTGTGTTTTCTCAGACTTGCATCTGAGAACAAGCAACAGAAAAATAAGGTAAAAAACAGAGCCTATTAAACTAGCATCTCAGTTAAAATACAGATACATTAAATCACTTTGTTGACAAAATTATTAATATGCTTTAATAACTATCTTCTGTAATACACTAGAATTTATCCGTGCTATATTAAAACACTAAAATTCTAAGATAAAACTTTTCCTACACTATGAGTATGCCT